CAACCGTTGGGTTCATGATGACTTTTGGGGTGTCATTGGCCTTGGAAGAGGCTCAAGATGAATTTGGTGGGTCAGCCATGGGGTTCATGGATGAATTTTGGGGTGACATTGACCTTGGAAGGGGTTTGAGATGAGTTTGAGGGACCAACCGTTGGGTTCATGATGACTTTTGGAGTGTCATGGACTTTGGAAGAGGTTCAAGATGAGTTTGAGCGTCCAACAAATGGGTTCATGGTGAATTTTGGGGTGTCATGGACTTTGGGAGAGGCTCAAAATGAGTTTGATGGTTCAGGTGTTGGGTTCATGATGACTTTTGGGGTGTCATTGATCTTGGAAGTGTCTCAAGATCAATTTGAGGGTCCAACTGTTGGGTTCATGATGAATTTTGGGGCGTCGTGGACTTTGGAAGAGGTTCAAGATGAGTTTGAGGGGCCAACAAATGGGTTCGTGATGAATTTTGGGGCGTCGTGGACTTTGGAAGAGGTTCAAGATGAGTTTGAGGGGCCAACAAATGGGTTCGTGATGAATTTTGGGGCGTCACAGACTTTGGAAGGGGTTGAAGATGAATTTGAAGGACCAACCGGTGGGTTCATGGGGAATTTTAGGGTGTTATTGACCTTCGAAGGGGTTCAAGATCAATTTGAGAGTCCAACCGTTGGGTTCATGATGACTTTTGGGGTGTCATTGACCTTGGAAGCATCTCAAGATCAATTTGAGGGTCCAACCGTTGGGTTCATGATGACTTTTGGGGTGTCATTGACCTTGGAAGCATCTCAAGATCAATTTGAGGGTCCAACCGTTGGGTTCATGATGACTTTTGGGGTGTCATTGACCTTGGAAGCATCTCAAGATCAATTTGATGGTCCAACCGTTGGGTTCATGATGACTTTTGGGGTGTCATGGACCCGGCGAGACGTTCAAGCTGAATTTGGGGGGACGGACCACCGGTTTCATGGTGACCCATTGACTCGGCCGCACCTCCGAGAGGAATTTGGGCCCCCACCCCCTTAACGAAGGGCCCCGCCTGGCCTGGTGGCCCCGCCCACTTTTGGGGGCTCACCTGCAGCTCGCACCAGGCCACCTCCACCCAGGTATCGGTGTCGAAGCCCTTGAAGACCGTCTTGAAGGCTCCTCGTCCCAACTCGATGTCGAACTTGAGGAACCTTCCGCCCGGAGAGGTGGCCACCGCCTTCATCTCCGCTTCTTCTTCCACCTCCTCCCTCCCCCCGATGGCCCCCCCAAATTTGGGGGCCCCCCGAAACTCGGCATCCTCTCGGAATTCCGTATCTTCTCGAGGTGGACCCCGATCTTCCTCATCCAACAATTCCACG